GAATCTGTTATCTATATTGATAATTTTTTTACATCTTTACCTTTACTGACACGGTTGAGAGATGAAAAGATATACTGTATCGGCACAATTAGAAAAGACAGAATTGAAAAAGTCCCACTCAAAGAAGTAAAAAAAGAAATTCGTGGAACTTCCCACGCTCTATATAGAGAAGAACATCAGCTCACTTTTGTTCGCTGGAATGACAATAATGAAGTTACTATGGCAACTAATATTTCAACTCCAGAAATATTTACTATAGGAAACTGTAACAGATGGTCCAGAAAAGACAGAAAAATTATAGCGGTCTCTCAACCAAACGTTGTGCAAATGTATAACAAGGGAATGGGTTGTAGACTTATTCGATGAGCTAAGAGGTTTATATAGGATTCTAATTCGATCCAAAAAATGGTATTGGGCGATATTTAGATTTTGCTTGAATGGGACAATAATCAACATGTGGCTTCTTTACCGCAACATTGAGGCAATTTCTTTATTAGAATTTTACAGACGAATTGTGGAGGCCCTGCTGACAGCTCCAGATATTCCAACACCACGTGGAGTACGTCCAAAATCTTCAAAACATGTTGCTGATGAAATTCGTTTGGATAATGTGGGTCATTTGGTTGACAAAATTGAAAAACAATGAAGGTGCGGCAAATGTGGCAAGTGTACCAAATATCGATGCATTAAATGTAATGTAGGACTTCATCCCGAGAAATGTTTTGTCAAATATAACACGCTGTAAATATTTTAAAATAAAACATATCTTCTAAAATATTGTGTCCTTCATTACCCATCGTATGATATATCATACGTCAAAAAAAGACAGTTACTAAGAAAAAAAAACGTAAATTTTGCACATTTCTATTAAAAACGACCTTTCTTTATTTCATTCTGAAATTTTGATTCAATTTTGATAAAAATTTAATTTTAGGCATTAATAGGATAAAATAGTCTCTATATCGAACTACCCTCGCGAGCCAAAAAATCGACTTACTGGATGAATTGTAGATTATTCTTCAATTTTATGTGGTGCTATTTTCAAATAATGCATTGTCTAGTATAGAGCAATATATATGCAAAAATATTGTCTAGTATAGAGCTTCCCAACAATAATTGTTTTATGGAAATTGGCAACGTGTTAAATTTGCTACTTTGCTCTTTCTACACAGCATAGGGGATGCAGTAAATACTTTAACGGGCATGTTAAAAGTAATGTAAATGTCTATGAATTTGCCGGTGGTATTCTCAGTCGCTTTTTAAACGTTGACGTGTGTACACTTTGAAGTGCTGTAAGTGAATATTTTACAAATGGACACTTCACCAGTAAAGTCGACCCAGGTAATTGCATTATTACAAGAGGGCTATAGTCAGAAGACTGTCAACTTCGCCTACTTATGACGCAATCTGCAGTCTCAATTGCTTACCGTCTATATCAGGAGGCTGGTAATTATAGTCGTTGACCAGGCTTGGGTTGGCGACGTGTAAAGATAGAGAGGGACGATAGATTCATTGCGGAACATTCCTGACAACCTTGCGGAGTCGGCACGCGACAGGTATTGAACTTCAATAATCCTTGAGGAATATATGAGTTGTCACCGTCACTCACTCAGTGCATAGTTGGACGAAGACTTAAGGCTGCCACTTTGACTTCGAGATGAGCTAACACAGAGCCCAATAAACACACGTCAGAAACAAGCTCGACTTTAGTTTGCCCGAGAACACAGAGTTTTAATCTCTGATAAGAGTTGAATATACTTGAATAGATTTGAAGACGACGTGTCTATCGGAGATCCAGATAACGATTTGCTTAGTGCTGCAGTATCGAAACAGTAAGCTATAGAGGTGGTTGATGTATATTTTGGAGTGGTATATCTTTAGAAGGAGAAACAGAGCTTATGTCCGCTCGCCCTCTAATGGTCGCCGAGTGGGTTTGACAGCTTCAACTCCAATATATAATCGTGTTCTGACATCCGTACCATAACCAATATTTTTAGTGTTTTTTGTGGAGTCCAGTTTTTGTCGAATCCCAACATTTTAACATAGAACCAGCTTTAAAAGAAAATTTTTGTACTTCTTTTACCAAATGAGATCTCTCCTAGTAGTAATACTTTAAAACTTGACCATAGCTCTGAAGATTGAAGAAGGCCTTTGTTTAACAGTAGAGAGTGATAGCTGCATGGCGATTATAATAAAATCAAATTATTATAATGTTACATACTTTCAGTTTTTCTGCGTGCAGTAAAAGCATAGACCAACAAATTCTCCGAATCTCCTGGCCAGATTATATTGATACTGAAAATGTGTTGCGAAGAATGAATGGGAAATTATCTTTACCTTAAAGAAGGAAAAGCTGTAATACATTGATCTTCAGACGAGACATACAAATATTTCCTACAGCTACTTATTCCTATGAGAAAGCTGAATAGCAATAGTGGTTCAGGGTGCAGAAGAAACTGATGTATGCAAAACCTATGTAAGTTGTTTGTCTCGATTTGTAGATAAGTATATTAATAGTAAAAAGAATAAGAATAAGTATATGTTCTACAGATATTACAAAAATACTCCTGATCAACACTGTAGTAAATAACAGTGCATACAATAATTGCGTCTAGTAGTCAAGCAAATTTGATCTCTATCTATCTATCTATATAATCAGCTAAGAACATCGCTCTCATTTTTCAGAGTTTTGTATCTTGCACCATTTGCATCCATCTTGATGCAGCATGTTGTTTTATGCTTTCTGACTTTGCGTTTTCGCTATCTTTTTTTATATTATCCTTAGTAAATATCCAAGTTTGACCGTTGTAAGAAGAAAGAAGAGGTAGTATACACTGGTCAAAAACGGTCTTAGGTACTCGTTTTTAGGCACTGGAGCATTTTTTGTTCTTATATATATATATATATATATATATATATATATATATATATATATATATTATATATATATATATATATATATATACAGTGGAACCTCGATTATCCGTCAGGGCACCGGACCAAGGGTATGACGGATAATCGAAAAGACGGTTAACAGAACATTAAAAAAAAAATCATAGTATAACTCTCAAAATTTTATTTGTATGTTTTATTTGACAATATAAGCGGGATTTATGTTAGTACAGTCGAATCAATTTGATTTAAATTATTCGAAATTTTTGTTTGTTTTATTGTTACTTTACTTATTTTGCAACGGCTGAATTTGTTAATCAACGTAAAATCATTAAATCTACCTTATTTACTTCTTCTTGTCGAGAATACCACTTGATGAATATTGTTGTATGTGCGATGCAGCGATAGCTTCTTCACACAGATCTTTGTGAATTGTAATAGCATCATCAACATCGCCACCATCAAAGTCGGCTTTTGAATCAGTTTCGTCCACCTCTGTTGCCATTTCAACGATTTTATCGTCTGTCAGCAATCGATAGCCGTTTACGTCCTCATCACAAATTAACCATTCGTTTATGTCACCAGTTGATTCAGCCATAACTTCATTTAAGCGGAGCATTTTCATCTTAAGTTGATTCCAGGACCATAATTTGTTCCAGGCTCTTTTCAGCGTTACTTCCGAAACATTAGCCCAAGTCGACAGCATTGTCGACTGCGTGTTTTAAATTGTATGCTTTGCAGCATTCTGGCCAAGAATATTACTCTTCCATAACTAGGTTTTAAATAATTTTTTTCCTGTATCTTCTTTTGAATGTGTTGATGACGGAATGATCAATTGGTTGTATCAATGATGTATTCGCAGGCAGAAAAGAGTACGTGATATTTTTATCGTCATTCCGCAACATACCGGCTTTAGGATGGGCAGGTGCATTGTACAAAATAAGAATCGTCTTTGGTGGAAATTATTATGCAAACAAAATGAATTGATGACTAAATTTTTACTTATGTTGTCAATATAACCTATGTATGGACCCTGACGGTTAACAGAGGTGACGGTTAATAGAGAGACGGATAATCGAGGTTCCACTGTATATATATATATATATATATATATATATATATATTATATATATATATATATATATATATATATAAGGTAGTCTACCAAATACTATCCAAGCAAATCTTTTCCTCCCTTCTGATTTATCTTGTTCAGTTTTGTGATATGACCCAAGCATGGGGTAAACTGGTTCACAGTGGGCCACGCTCCATAGTGGGGACTATGTTATAGTAAGATACATGACAAAACTGTTATGCATTCTGTCGGTCAGGTTATTAAGACCAATGAAGATGAATTTAATATATCTTGTGGAAGTTAAAGTACAACTGGAGCTGCTTGCCAGTTTATGTTTTCTGTGAATTTTTTCCAACTTAAAATAGAGTAAAAGTGTTTTTTATTAAAAATTCCACTATGAACCACTATGAATCCCACAATAGACTATAGTGGGTTCATAATGGGAAGAGTGGTCTATAGTGGGACTTTATTTTAAATAAAGGACCATGTACTTAAAATTATTATTAGTTTTCTTGCTTACATCCATATCCATGCATAGGTACCCTTACTATAATTTACAAACGTTTAATCAAGGAGCTATACACTTGAAAAAACATCCCACTACAGACCAGTTTACCCTACGTACTTATTTACTTATTCCGTTTGTTCTACTGTAATATTAAGGTCTTAGTTTTGGTTAATCATAGCTTTAGTTTAACACAGTAAATTTTTATTCCTTTTTTCCCGATTATTTATTCAACTCTTCAATCATTTTTTGCCATTCTTCTCTTTTACTAGATATGAACACGATATCATCAGCATATCGCAAATGTTTACCTATTGACCTTAAATAATAATACCACAGTTTTCACGGTCTTTTCTAAAGATATCTACGAAGGTTTTGAAAGCAAATTTAATATCAATTGAAAATATTCCAGAAACTATCAACAGTTATAATTTTGAAAAGGGATTAGATGCAGTTAGCAGCACAAAGTTTGACATAATATGTTGAATTATTGATTATCACCATATTAATATTAAAGTCAACACTTACCATTCTGCATAGCCACGCTCTTATCTTCCACTCTGCTAACATAACAACATAACTCGTCTTGTCGATCAGCGTTTTCAACTAGTTCTGCCTCAACACTGAAGCCCCACATTTGTTCCAAAGTGTTTCTCGATAACTCCACTTGGTAAAGAATTTTCGCGCAAACCTCTACCACCTCATGTGTATGAAGCTGAAAAGAAAAATAACCTATAACATTTTTGGAAGTAGGTATATTAAATTGATAAATAAATTTCATTATTTTAAAATGTGAAAACTAATTTATTAATTTAAAATCTCTTATCAATGGAACACTTTTTGTGATTTTAACAAACAAAATATTAGAACATCCACCTTCACCTGTCAAACCAAATAATGTTGCTGGCGATTTGATCTTATATTCAAAAGCAAAAAAAATATATTCTATACAAAAAATCTACAATGTGCTCTAAATCACTTTAAGATTATGGAATTTAATCGGCCAACTACCGAAAATTCAGAAAAAACGCATTTTTTGTTAACCTACGCTTCAAGTATTCAAGAGATCTAGTCACACTCTTCTCTTTATAATATCATTGGGGAGAGTTTAAAAAATATTATAATAAAAAGCACCGAATAGATCATCCATTCTACGAGAGAATTAGAAATTACTGATCGTCTCATAGTACCTATCCAATTTCCAAAATTTTTCAATGTGTCAACTCAAGCTGTATCACCAAAATGAACTATACACCTATATGTCTAGCTTTTCTCAATTTCTGAATGAATTATCATTATAAGAGTGCCACAGAAAATTATATTATTTAAAGAAAATAAAAATTGTGTTAAATGTTTCCAAAACGAGAAATATTTATTTTCCAAAAATCATTGTTGATTGATAGCTTCGTATATTCGTAGTTATAGCTACAAAAAACAATAAAAAAAACATATTCTATACTACATGGCAGATAAAAATCTATTTGGAAATAACAATATGTTATTACTGATATCCTAATATTACGTGATTTACATCAAAATCCGTTTAAAATTTTTATTGCTTTTACATTATTGACCATTTACCGTAATGTATTATTTATATTTGACATGCATGGTTCGTTTTCATTGTAACTGACAAGTTTTTGTGTCGTCCAAATTTAAATATAAATCTAGGGCCCGTTTCACAAAACTACACGTTTGTCAGTTACAATGAAATTCTTACAAGTTTGGCAAAATATCTCGTTATTAGTGTTTCACGAATGCACAAGTATTCACTTGTAACCACTAGTGAATTTTACAATTTTACAAGTAAATTACTTGTAAGCTACCAACAATTTACTTGTTCAACACAAGAATAATTTACAAGTTTGTAGTTGACAGTTGTAGTGAACTAAACATTTTCTACCTAACTTTGAAGGTAGGTAGTTGGTTTGACAAGTGTAATAAGTGTAGAAAAAATGTTGTCTAGTAGCAGCTCTTCGTCAGAAAATGAAAATGAGGTATTTGTTCAAAGAAGAAGGAGGAGAATATTCAGACCAAGAATTAATAGTGATTTTCCATCAATTTACGAGTTTAATGAACGTTTTCGGATGACTTCTATACAAATGGAACAACTTCGTATAGACATTGCACCTGTCTTAGCGCATCCAACGAATCGCTCTTATGCACTGGCAACAAAAATGCAATTGTGTATAGCATTACACTGGCTAGGTAGTGGAGGACAATATCACGTCATAGCAGATACTCATGGAGTCAGCAAAGCAAGTGTCAGTAGATGTGTAAAAAAAGTGGTACACGCAATTAACCAAATAAAATTTCATCAAGTTGTTGCTTGGCCGGCAAATATTTTAAATAAGACTGCAGAATTCTTTGCAGTAGCAGGATTTCCCCAAGTTATAGGTTGTATTGATGGGACGCTTATTAAAATAGATGCTCCAACTGAAAATGAACCTGCTTTTGTTGATCGTAATGGAAATCACTCTATTAATTGTATGATTGTTTGTGGACCAGACTTGAAAATCTATTATGTTAGTGCAAATTGGCCGGGAAGTGTTCATGACGCGAGAGTACTGAGAAATAGCACCCTTTTTCAGAGAATGGAAGCTGGTTGGCATCCAATTCCAAATAGAGTGATTCTAGGTGACTCTGGATACCCTCTATTAGATTGGCTTATGACCCCAATTGAGGTGAATGTGGATGAGGCTGTGGCTACCTACAACAGAGCACATAAGAAAACACGGCGTTTAGTCGAAAATGCTTTAGGCGTACTAAAGGAGAAATTTCCTTGTCTTAACTACTTTCGTTTGAGTCCAGTATATGCAGCCAATGTTTTCAAATGCTGCACAGCGCTGTATAATATTACTCGGGAGAGAATGAATCTAAACCGACAAATGGATAATGAAGAAATGGAAGACGATAACGAAATAGCCGGACAACCAGCTCCTTTGAATGCAAGACAAAGACAACAGGAGTTGATAAATTATTTTAGAAATAGAAACTAGTTCCAGTGTAACTTTATAACAATAAAGAATATAAAATAAATAAATATAGAATAGTATATAATATTTACTTTTTATTTAAACGAAAAAATAATTTCCAAAACATTTAACAAATACTTAGCATAATAATGAATTAAAAATCAAAGAAGTAATTCCTATAAACAATACGTTTTTCTTATAATTAATTAAAAAATCAAATATAACAATAATATAACTTCTCAAACAATGGTCGAATATTCCACGCTTTCACTGGTAGGTGACTCTTCTACATTTATGAGGTAGGTTACAGCAGAATCGAAAGATACAGTGAATTTTGAAGGGGTCACATGTAGTTCCCGTTCTAGTTTTAAAATGTCTAATGTTTTTAGATAACTTTCTTTTGCAAGGATTTCAATTTGGTGTTGTAATTTTTTCTTCTTTAAATCGATTAGTGCTTCGCCAATTGGGTCATTTTCATTAGATATTTTCGACTTGTTCCTTTTTGTACAAGATGCAGTAGGTACACTGCTGCTCCCAGTAGAAATAAACACATTAGTGTTTTTAATTTTGTTTGTTGCACCGTGATCTTGCAAATGGTTTGAATTTTCTATTTCTTGTTCAAGAATCTTGAAGTTCTGAGGATCTTGCTCCTTCTCAGGATCTTGCTCCCAAGTTTCGGAAATGCCGAGACTACACAGAATTGGATTATCCGGCCCAAGAATGTCGAGAACTACATTGTCCATTTCTGTAAATTTAGAATCTGTGCCTCCACCTGAACCAGTTTTCCTCCTGTTATCAACTTTCTTCTGCAATAAGAAAAAAAGTGTCAGATACGCTTACACTTTGGCAAATTAAACGCTAACACTTACCATTGTTGATTTCTTTAAATTTTGCCAAAATACATCACGGCTGTAAGTCCAATCCTTATTTGGAGGCACAAGCCCTAAACTGGTGGATTTTTGGTGCACAGTTTTCCAACATTCTATTTTGTCTTTTTTTGTTAATTTGTCGGAAAAGCTGCCGAAAAGAATTGCTTTCTTATCTCTAATCTCTTTTAAAATTATAATTTTACTACCGTTTAAGACGCTTTTCGACATTGTCACAGAATTATAAATAACGACTGACGTTTAACTAGTAAATTGTCAACAAAACTATTTTAAGGTTATGTTTATTTACAAACTTGTAACAGACATGCGTGAAGTACACCGGTTGCTGACAAATTTACACATGTAACGAACAAGTTAAATATTTTTTTTGTGAAACGCTAGTTATTAACAACTTGTGATTACAAGTGCTGAATATTAACAATTGTTACTAACAACACTTGTAGTTTTGTGAAACGGGCCCCAGGTATAATCCATATTTAATGGATCACCAATATTTACGTACAAAATATATGTTAACGGGGTGATCTTTGTACTAACCAGTAATAACTATAATCGGGTCTAATGGTTTTCAATATACATTAGTATAGAAAATTCTTAATAATAAGTCATAAAATAACCAATATTTTGACGGCAAGATTATAAACATTCTGCAATTTTACGAAGCTATAAGGGAACAATAAATTGATTTTAGGCCTGAACAGCATCTAGTTCCGGGCAGAAGAGATAGTATATTAGGTTTTTTCCTGGGTTTTTCCTCATGAGTTACTATGAGATTACTAATAGGAGAATTTTACTGTCATCATTGCTTGTGGTTGTCCTTTTAAATATTTTTGTAATGGCTATTCTCAAATAAAAGTTAATTTCATGTGATCGAATAATAATTATAATACTAATGTTTAAGAACAAGACGGCTCTTGATTCAGTGGATCATCATTCAATGGTATATATTAGTGGATTCTCTTGGGCTTAGGTTCATAAAAAAAATTTAGTTTGAATACTAAGACATTTTATATATTTTTTCCGACGTTTCGGCAGGAAATCCATGCCATTTTCAAGAATATATATTGACTAAAAAAACATTTTATGACAGACATGATACGATTTAAAAAATAAACTTTTGACTTACCAAGCATGTAAAGATTCGGTATTAACAATTAGACGTCACAATTAAAATAATATTAAAACATGGGACATACCCACTAAGTCACTACAAGTAAAATGTATTTTAAATCTAATGTGTTGATTATTGATGTTAGTTTATCGTTTAAACAATCAGTTATTTTAACATAATAGGCGTTCTGAGAATGACTTTTTATGTGTTTTTAAATTAAGTTAAAATATATTTTGTTCAAATCTTTTTTATCATTTGTCCACTGTGCCGTTATATGCTTTTTGAAGCATATAACGGCACAGTGGAAGACAAAAGTTCACCTTCAAATACCTGGTGAAAAAAATATCAAAACCAAAGATATCCCTATTAACCGGGGTCTTTTCCAGGGGGACTCGTTGAGTTCACTTTGGATCTGCCTAGCTATGAACCCATTAGCTCAGCTGCTGAACTCGGCTTACTCAGGATTTAGCATAAAAAAAACACTGTTGTGGCGAAACACCTAGATCAGATACTAAACATTGTAGAAACTGTCTCAAATCATATCAGTATGCATTTTGGACTAGACAAGTGCCGTATACTAAATATAGTCAGAGGAAAGGT